TGCATTTGCTCCAGCAGCAGCGCGTGCCCTGTGATTTGTCCGTGTGAGCTAAGCGCCGTCTCACGGAGCTCTGAAGTGCTCGAACTAAAGTAGAATCGTCGCCAACAAGATAGTTTCCTCCACATGATCGGTGTCGTTATCCCGGGGATTTAAAAAGAAGAGGGCTAGCTGGCTTTCTTTCTGTTTTTTTTTTTTCTTTTTTAATTTGGCGAGGGAGCGTTGTGCATCATGCAGAGGGGGCACAGTTTCTCTGAGCGCAAATAAAATAATGGGAGAGAAATGAGAAGGAAAACAAAAGCGAAGCGAATTCCCGACTACGAAAATGAAGAGGACGAGGAGGAAGAACAAAAAGCGGACGAATTCGATGTAAGATATGATGATGGAGACGTTTCTGAGCGTGTTTTGTGGCGGCTCTTCTTTTGCTTTGTTGCTATTATTGGAATTATTTGGTCTCAAAAGAATAATTAGAATCCCACCAATTGACTGTCCAACAGCCCGGGCTGCAGAAACGAAGAAAACAAATGTATCCTGCCAAAGAGCGAGCAGAGGGGAATTCATCATCAGCTACAGCTCTCCAGAAGTTAGATATGAAGGTTTGAGCTTTTTTTTTAAACTAGCGTTTGTGTTTGGTGTTTGTTTTATTTTGGCGGAAATCTGGCCATTTCACACCAACGACTGACTGAACGGTCACTTTTTACGGTTTGAGAGGTCTGTAGGCGAACCCAGGCAGGCAGCACTAGTATCTTAAGGATCATTTATTGTTCGCTCTTGTACTTTACTTGCACCAGTGCAAACCCAGAGAGAGCAATATGCGATGATCTCCAGCAGCAATGGTGTGAGGCAGGGCAGGCAGCCATGCCTGCTTGCTAATGGAGAACAATAGGGTAAAGCATGGTGTACATCAAGTACACAGCATATCAACAGCCCAGCAAACATCTTCACTAAAACACTTTTGCAAAAGGCTAAATCATCAGGCTGCCTTTACTGTGGTTGGACCTAAAAATGCTGTGATTTTTAGAAGTTACTTTAGAAAGTTTCAATTTAAAGCACCCTATCACTTTACATTGTATCTGTTTTAGAAGTTGGGTCCTGTTTTAATGTCCTCTGTCTTGTTCTGATAGGGTTATGAGTTTGACTGCTCTCCTGCAGACAACTTCAGTGACAGTCACTCCACCTCTGAGGTAAGATGAAACCTGCAGCACAGGTGCACTCAGCTCTGCGCACACCTGACTTGTGGCACTTTGTATCAGCATGAGCTCTGCTGTTTCTGTTTGTAGCAGGAGGCTGATTATTTGCAGTCTTATTCGAAGATGGAGCTAATTGCGATGGTCCTATGCATGCAGAGAGAAATGGAGAGCTTGAAGGAACAACTTAGGTGCCTTACAGGTGAGACACATAACTTGAAGTGTTTTGTTATTTGCTTCCTAAAGCGTATTGATCCTTTTTGTAAATATTGCAGGTTATTGTATGTATATATAGCCTTTTTCTTGGATTAAATTGTCATTTCAACGACCCATGAAAAGCCAGTTTAGTCTATGCTAAAGAGTAATCCAGGTCTCCGAAACCAGATCTTGGAGTTTTACCCATCACTGCAGGCCTTAAAGGCACATTTCAGCTGCATGACATAAAATGATCTGAAAATGTCTAAAATTATTTGCTTTCATGTTGAATTTGTCAACACCAGCGTGTGGAAAGCTGGCCAAAAACCTTGAGGCCCTGATCGAGAAGACCCAGATGTGGCCTAATGGGGATAAGAAGCCCTCTCTCGCCGTCTCCCCCAGCCCAGTGAGAGTGCCTGTGGAAGTGGATGCTTTGATGCCAACTATGCTGTGTGCCCCAACTGTTCTGAATGGGCAGTGGGTCAAGCAGGAGACTGTGACACAGAAACCTAATGAGACCTCCCACAGGGACGGGCTCTTCTCAGAGGTACCTCTGTTATTCCGGTTAACATCTTAATCATTTTGATTTATTTTGATTGTTAATTTTGGTTTTCATTTTTTTTTTTGGTTCATGTTATGGTTTACACTCTTTTAATCTATTTTAGGAAAGGTTTACTGAAAAATCCGCTTTTCACCGTTTTCTCACTTACCCTAAACATAGTTGATTGGCCAAGACAGTTTGTTGTTCAGAGTTTACTACTACTTCTTTAGCCTTGCTCTGGTGCAAACAAGCTGATGTAGCTGAAAAAGTAAGTCGTCAACCCATTACGAAACTTAAGAAGCAAACTCTGGACACGAAACAGTTGTCTTGGAGTAAATGGAAAATTGTGTACAGTTATTTTTTCAGTTTCAAGTTTCTACTCATGGTACCCAAAAGAGAAATTTTGTCATTTCAGTTCATCACTCCTGAGCTTTTGGAGAGATGTAACACAGGAACCACTGCCCAGAAGTTGACCAATGACCTGCTCCGTGGACTTTATGAAAGAGATTGCCTGGCCTCGCACTCTATCTCTGGTGTCGTGTACAACAAGAGGGGTCAGCCCAAACCTGCCCTGCCCACTGAAGAGGTCCAGGCCATTCTGAGTAAGGACCTCCACTGTTAGCACTATAGCTTATACACTGCTAGAATCCTGAAAATAATGGCCCATATTTATGGGTGAGGAAAAAGTTTATGCCATCTTTGCCCATATTGCTGTATTCAGTAAGCTGTAAAACGTAATTAATTGTGCTGTGTATATGCCAGAATTGTTCAATATACTATAAAATGTAAAGCTTGAATATTTTGAATATGTTTAGTGGAAACGCTGAAAGGCCTGTGTGTAGTTGAAATGCTCAAAGATTCCCTTTCTTTTGCGTACACCTGCTCAGGAACATTATTCAGTAGATTATCATTTAGATTATGCAGGTTTATTGTTATTCATGGCGTGCTATAATCTTTATAATAATCTCTTTCAGGAACTGTCCAGTATTTCTTTCCTGGGAAGACTGATGCAGAGATTAAGGGCTACATCCGTCAGAAACTGCAAAATGAAGCGAAACGCTTGAGAAAAAAACCTCCACTTCCTGGCCCAGAGTCTAGAACTCTGAGTCAATCTTGCCCAAGATCAAGTGCTCCTCACTTGGATTTGATTGGACAAAAGTCAAATGTTTGATTAGTAGTCATCAGTTTTGTGTCATCCGATGAGCTAGCCTTATTCAGTGTTAAATATGATCAAGAGATCAAAATTTCTTGACTCATAAAGTTGATAAGAGATGAGTATCTGTATAAATATATATATCATGTTATATTTGAAATGTCCTTGAGAATGTCACGATCACTTGCAATAGTTGTTTGGCTACTGGTCGTTGTGACAGTATTGATGTCAAAATGCAAATAAAAGGGTTTGAATTGAGTTCAGATGTTGCATTCACCAAGGTCTCCTGTTAAGAGCACAGTCAATAGGATTAGATATCAATGATGTGAGTCTGTAAACATTGATTTTTATGTTTTGTATTTAACAGCTGTGTAGTTGCTACACTGCACAATGTCAGAAGGTGTGAACATTATTTTCATTGTATTTTAAATGTATTTCTTACTCTCTCATGGTCCCTATGACTCAAACGTAGCTTTATGTATGTAATCTTTTGTTATTAAATCATGGAAAAGAAAGCACATTAGATGTTCTAATTAATATTTGCATTTTCCTTTACTGTCTTGTGTGGTGTATATCCGTATCCCCTCTTGATTATGACTGTGGATGTTTATGAGAGAGAGAGAGATGCGAGAGATACGAGAGATACTGAGTGTATTAGCGTGTAAAAACCCCTGTGAATGTGGGCTATGGAGAACAATGTGTGCTGCATGTGGAGAGCTGGTGAGATGGAGGTAATCAATGACTGAGCGACACAAGCAGAGTGACAACAGCAGGGGTGCTGGGCCAGTTGTCTTGGCAACCCCAGCCTTCTGGGCCACAGCAGTCTGGGTCTTACCCTGGCCAGTGCCTCCGAGCATCTGCCCACTGCAGGGACAAGGGGAATTGCGGCAAACAAATAAGGAATGAAAGGCAGAACGAAAGACTTTGGGGGACCTGAAGAAATTAGGTCCATCACCCAATGAGGAGAAGGCAGTTAATTGAGGATGCTGTTGTGGTGGGCTTTTTGATGAATATCTGGCCCTCTGTCTTATTATTCTGCTCTTGTCTATTGGGAAAACAAAGTGTTTGCAATGGCTGCTGTTGAGGTTTGGTGAGTCTGGCCTGATGGATAGCTCAGACAATGACTGGGCAGAGCACAGCCCCTCTGCTTATCATAAGCCTCATCAGAGAGGGGGAGGAGGAGGAGGTAGACAAAGAAAGGGGACAGACATCTGTGTGTGCGTGTCAAAAGCTAGAGGAATAACAGCAAAATACTAGATGAGAGGTCGAGACTAATAAATATGTTTTTGTTGAATGTGACCTAGATAAGACTGTGAAGTCATATAACCAAAAGTTCATGCAGAAAACAACACTGGCATTATTTTTGCAACAAGCATTTTCAAGCCTTAATCTGAAAATGCCCTTTACTCTCACACAAATTCCCTGGCTAGTATGCAGGGGGGATGCGCCACAGTAGCAAGATAATGGCCATTAGGTCCTCAATCTTGTGAGCATAATGTGTTTCAGACATGTGATTACTCTGCCTGCCCTGGGGCAAGAGGGAGATGACACAGTGATGGAGCACCAAAGGCTGCTGGGAGATTTTACAAAGCACTGAGGGAGGAGTGTTGCTTAAATAGAAGTATTTTGTTGCATTGACAACAGGGGTGGGGTAGGACCCCTCTTCTTATCCTTCAGCTTAGATTGTATACTTTAAACGCAGCAATTCTTTAATCAGTATAAAAAAAATTCACGCCGACTAGTGGTGAACTCTGCTGGACAAACAGTGAAAGTGTGGACAAAGGGAGAAGGTGTATCTGCTTAAATCCATAAGGGTGACGTGTTTGAGCCTAAGGGAGCCCAAAGAATGGAATTTGATCCTAAGGTAATAAAACAGCACATTGCTTGCTGTAGCCACACATTTCAAGCTGTTTTGATAAAGTACCGAAAATGACATTGTTTAAATGAAATAAAATATTTATTTATAAAGTGATGCTGTTGAGGCAATCGTAGTTTACACAGTAACGCCCATGAGATTGACATGACGGTTGTTATACCGTTTTGAGATGTCAGCTTCAATCTGTAAGAAAAAGAGAGAGACAAAGTTTTTACATGCACCTGTCGCATTGTTTCTTGAAAATACAGTTGTTTTTACTTTGCCTACATTATCCTGTCAAATAAGAAGGTAGAATCTATTTAGGGAACTCAAAGTGACTTCACTCAACATGTCCTCCCTGCAAAACTCTTAGCAGTTAATAGGCCATGGTACCTGTTTCTGTAGTTCTTTAGTGCGAGCAGCCAGCAGGTCGATGCGTGGCTCCAGCTTTGCTTGTTCCTCCAGAGCTTCCTGCCTCTGCTCAGCCAGAGAGGCACGTTTCAGCACCAAGATATCAGCCTGCTTCAGCTTCTGCCTCAGCATGTCAGATACACGCTCCACATAGCTGAAACAGAGCCATTTTAATCATCTGTGAGGAAGACTTATTGCTGACAATCCAAATTCCAGTTGCAGAGATTCACCACTCTGCACCGTTTCATGTCGTCTCTGCTCTAACACACCTGATTCCATTCATAAGGGGATGGTAATTAGCTAATGAGTTGCCTCAGGTGTGTCAGAACTGGGAAAACACTGAACTGTTTAACCACTTGCAGTGGTTCCCCAGGACTGAACATGGGAACTGATCCCATTTTCCCAGGACTGATATGGGGAAACCACATACTGGATGTCATTATGAGTGCTGACATTCAATATCTTACTTCAATATGTTATCATCCAAGATCTAAAACAGACAAACATGTAGATCTACCAAAGCAAGGGAGATGAGTTAGTGTACGTATGAGTAGTCACCGTGGCGATGCCTGGATCATGAACAGATGCTGCATGCGAAGCGAGGTCAGCCCTTCCAGGAGGCGGCGCACATCTGCCAGCATGGCCTGCACACGCTGGGTTGTCTGCGCCTGGATGACAGAGGGAGCCAGCTGGAACTGGCTCATGGCCACCATATCCCCCTCCTCACTCATCTCACTCAGCCTCTGGCACAGGAAGAGCTCCAACTAGCCAGCCGAACACAGACAGGAGAGGAGTCAGACTCCAAGACAGACACTAGCATACACAACCGTCTCTACATTTCCAGCAGAGATGAGCCATCATAACAGCTGGGAAACCGATTTAAGGGATTCACAAAAAATATTTTTAACTTAGACCAAGCAATACATCAAAAAAAGAGCCACTAGTATGACTACTTTGCTCAACACGTCAATCTACAGCAAAACAAACAAGAGGGTTTATGGGGAAAAAGTGCATAGGAACTTGGTTGTGGTTTTTAACATTATTACACTCTATTAACCACAAATGCTTTTCATGTATTATTTAACAGCTAGAGCTGAATTACCTCCATCAATTCATCGATAAACTGGCTGCGTGTCTTCGGGTACTCAAGCACAGAGAGTGCATCCTCACCTCTGGCAACACCTTCAGGGCCTGCAAATCCAAGCTGGGTCATTAGTGGGTCATTAGAGCAGGAAAATGGTGAAGAAAAAATTCAGCACTATTATGCAAATATTACACAGCTACAAAATGAGAATTTTATTACAGATTTTTTGTTATATATATATATATATATTTACAGTCGGTGCCTGCATCTACAACTTCGATTTCCACTGCACCAGGTTCAGATTCGCCCCAATTAATACCACCAGCACTTGTTTCCTATAATTCATGAGAAAAGGAAATTCTGAAAAACACCATACATTATCAGAAGTGCGCTTCAATGACAGAAACACGTTTCTAAGTTAAGCTGCAGGTGGTAAAATATTACTCTTTGTGTGCTTACCTCTTTGCCAGACTCAAGAGTGATGCCCCAGTCAACACTGTCCTCAACTTTGATCCCAAAATTCACCTCTTCTGCACCCGCCCCACTGCTCAGATCACCCCAGTCAATCTTATGGGACGTAATACACACAAACATCCAAACACATTTACATTTTATACACACGTTAAATAATAGTGGAAATAATAGACTTCTATACTTCAGTTCACAAGCAAAAATAAAATAAAATAAAAAAAATCAATGCCAATGTTGATTTGATGACAAAAAGCCTACTTTAGTCAAACGTTAGTGTTACAAATCACTAGTTAGCTAACAGTTACTCTAAAACCACAGCTATAACTGTATTGTACAGCCTGTCTGGCACTTGTCTGTTATTATTTCAGTCAGCCAGCAAACAGGCTAACAGGTTCTTCCAATAATATTCAGAGACAGGTCCTAAGTAAAAAGTTTTGCTGAAGGAGTTATTGTAAAACAGCAACATACAAAGTAAAGAATGCTACTTGAACGGTTCTTACAAGCTTGCCAGATTTTTAGCTGGGCCTGCTGTAACACATCAATGCTAACTGGGAGCTAACATAACACCAAAAACTACATAGGGGCCCTAATGCTAAATTAGCATTACTGTCATGATGTTCCCCAACTGAGCTTTCACAGACATACACAACATATGTCTGTGATTAGATTTTCATTTAATCATATTTTTGTCATCAATAAGGTGATCTGAAAACCATTTTAACACCGTCATGAAGCAGATGTTTTTTCTTGTCGTTATCATTCACCGTATGATGCTTCATCATAAGCATTTTTGTCAGTAATTTTGCTGGCGAGATTAACACTGACCATGGCCTCTAATGCCTAACTCACTGTTTCCTCTGTGACAGTGTCGGGTGGTGCTTCCTCTACCACAGGTCTCTCTATAACCGTTGGGGCGTTTCCTATCCTCCACTCGTACACTGTTGTGTTTCCTTTCCGTTGAACAAATGACAGCATAGGTAGAACTGGCTCAGACCTGAAGAGATACAACGTACAATAATGTATTGACACAATGCTTTATCATAGCATAAGAACTTTGACTGATCACTAGGTCCAATGTAATTACACTAGTTTCATAGATTCATTTTGACAACCAACTTTACAACCAAGCATTTCACGTACCACAGAAAACCGTGGGAATAACTGTAATAACAGGAAGTAACAGTAGATCCCTGAAAACAAGTATTAATTTGAGTATTAATATCTGAAGAATATTAGATATGGCACTCACCAGTCACAGACAAAATTTGTGAAAGCTGTATACAGCTGGATGGTTTGTTCCAGACAGGCAGCCTGTCTGCCTGTATCCTCCAGGACTGCCGGTAAATCCTTAACTAGTGCCTGCAACTCCCTTGCCACATTCTCCCCCTGAAAAGGTCAGTTCACTGTAAAGCAGGGTTATCAATTTTGGTCCTGGAGGACCAGATCCCACCACGGTTTGGTGATTTGCCTGCTGCAAAACAGATGACTTGAGTCAGGTGTATTAGAGCAGGGAAATCACCAAACTATGCTGGACACTGGCCTCCAGAACTTTAAGCTTATATGACTTCTAATTGTGAAAGGGATTTCTGTAAAGACATGATGGCAAAGTTCTCAGCTGCATTCTGTTCAGTTCCTAAGAAAGATGTAATTGGCTGAAATTTCACAGTGACTGCAGAATTTCTGTGACAAATATGACAGAAAGAAAATCTGTATGTAAGTAGGTATGTCAGTTTTGCTTGATTTTATTATTAGTTTTATTATTAGTTTTATTTGTCTTCAAACAACTGATTAGTTATATTGAGCTTATGTATGGTTGGAATGAAAACCTGCAGCCACACCAGCCATTAGGATAATATTGGCAACTGCAGTACACAGTGCATCATCTTCACGCTGCCTGTGCACCACCATTAACAAAACGTTTGCTAGTAATGGCAGAGAGGTGCTTGCTATTTTACCAAAAATGAAATTGACTGCACAATGATATGATACAAGTTTGTATGCTTTGCAGCTAGGCCTGGGCAATAGGGCGATGTACTTGGATACCTGTGATTACTGACTACTGATTCCGTGTTGGGCAACTGACAGAGAATTCATTTAGAGTGGACTCGTTTAATTTAAAACAGTGTGCTAAATAATATTTGCATTTAATGTTTTTCTTTTATTTTTTTACTGTTAAAGCTATTGATTGCTGTAGGGCATTAATAAGCGGTTAGGCTATGATAGAGTAAACGTTTCACCTTTTCTGCTTTGAATTTACCCAGAGTGTGACATACCATCTGTGGAAAACAATAGCATTTTCCATACAGCTTAAGTGTCCTGATGTGATATTGCTTAATATATGTTTTTCCTTAAAGATTTTCATTAAGTCAGTTAGTGTTCAGAAAGCTCTAAGTTAAAAATGAGAAAGGAGGTCTACGTTGTAGCAGACCACTCATGTATGTGTGTTTTGGGGTGGCAATTTAACTGATCCTTGCAGTATTTTTAACAAGTAAATATTGTGCTTATTTTTTATTATTTTTAGATCGTCCAGGCCTATTCATGGACACAAAATCTCCAAAACATAAATCAGAGATTCAGAAGCTCTAATATAACACATTTCTGCAAGTAAAAACTTAAGCAGTTTAATGCCTAGGAATGAATGAATGAAAAGAAAATAATCCTTGTTCGCTTGTAACACATTTTGAGACAGAAAACAATTTAAATAGCTACATGCTGTCCAAGATGATCAATATATACTTTTTGTTTTGTTCTCACCAAACAGGCCAACAAAACACCATACTAATCAGAAAACAGACTCTTCCGGTCATTTCATTGTGAAACCAGCAAGTATAGATCACATGGTGTATATGCACAAAAGATCAATTTCCTGACAGTCACTGATTGACTCTATGGGAAGGAAGCCTCTGCAGCCAAAGCGCTAAAAACAAGCTGAAACTGAAAAAGCTGAAAAAAATACTTGCAGTGGTGACCATAAAAGTCATTACTCTCTACTCAGCCTCTTAAGCTGCATGAGCGAAGCCAATTAGCTCACCATCATTCACAAAATAGAGATTGCTGATGCAACCTTACATTTTGTTTCAAGATGGTGCAATTAAACTCCACAAAAGAAGTCTTTACTTTTGTTGAATTTACATGTTATGTTCTGAACAGACATTCACCAACTGTGCTAGAAAAAAACTGTACATATTTCACATGCTGCTTTTAATTGTATGCCAAAATGTCAAACAACAATTAATGTACAAATAAAGCAGGAAGTCTGTATCCATTACTGCTTTCTGTGCTCACGTGCTGATTTCAGAGAAAACGCAAACCAGTGAAAGCTCACCGCGATGCCATACTGCTTGCAGGAAGCATAATAGCGCTCTTTCATGTCGGCAGCTCCACTCTGGCACTCCATCTCTTTTCTGGTAAGCTCCTGCTGCAGCTGCTGTGCTTTAGTCACGTGTTTCCTCAGAGCAGGACCCTCATAACTCACATTGCGGCTCAACAGACTGGCCAGTTCCGCTGGACACACAGAGCAGCATATCACATCACTCGAAAATGGTGGTATGCATCAGTGTTCCAAGTATGCTCAGAGAAAACCAAACAGGGTAAGTCTGTCCCATGAAAATTTAGCCGATGATTAATTGCCATTTAAACATTTGTAACTGGCAATTGTTTTTTTTTTTATTGTACATAACTATAAACATATAACCCTAAAGTGGCCAAACTGGATCAATAACTATCTTGCTTGTAACTGCTGACACAGCTTGTTTATTTGAGCTCGAGACACAACTTAAACTCAAGTAAACAAACATTACCGCTTCCCCCTAAAGGTGATATTACAAAAACATCAAATAAACAAACGTTGCTCACTGCTGCCCTCTAAAGGTGTAATAGCACTAGTCAAAGGTTGGAACTTTCACTGTTTTTGTAATACCTGTGGCATGTTTCAAGAAATTTTTCAACAAATTGTTTTCCGCTATTAATTAGTTACATGCTTTTGCCTCACGCCAGCAGAAGACACACGCAATTCATTCATTCATATCTTGTTCTTAATGATGTAATGAAATGATTGTGGAAGCTAACAAATGGGGAAAAACAACTGCAATCAGCTCAAATAATTGTGATCAGGCAAATTATGTAATGACTGTGACAGGCCTGACATAGTGGTACATTACTTTGATCATCACTTACCTAGGTAAACATTGTCTTTCTCATACAATGATACTATTTCCTGCCAGTCCTGTTGACAATAAACAAAATAAAAATGAGCATACCTGAAAACAAATTTATCTGTATAGACACTGACAGAGCCACATAATCACCTTCATCCTTTGTGATGAATATCTGCCGAATATATTTTTAGAAGAGGCTTCTGTTCCTTTCAGTATTTCAACTATCCTTAGACAATGGAAATAGTGGATGTCTGCAATGGCAAAAAAAACCTCAGCATCTGTTTTTTAATGAAAACTGATTAAAAATGATGGCGATACGTAACAGCAAAAGTTTTAAAGAAGTGACTATAGATGGGACCTATAACTCATGTCCAGGAGGGCTGGAAACCAGCACAGTTTGATTGATTTCCTACTCCTGATTCAACTCATTAGTTAATTACCAGGTCAGGTATTAGCGTTCACACAGTGAAACTGCCTAATTGTGCTGGACACTGGCCCTCCTGGACTGAAGTTCAAGACCCTTGGGCTAAAACATAAAAACACATAAGCTACATGGTGTACCTTTTCCAGTCTGATTGGCGCAACACGTACACTGTACTGCCAAAAGTATTCACTCACCTATCCAAATCATTGAATTCAGGTGTTCCAATCACTTCCATGGCCACCGGTGTATAAAACCAAGCACCTAGGCATGCAGACTGCTTCTACAAACATTTGTGAAAGAATGAGTCGTTCTCAGGAGCTCAATGGATTCCAGCATGGTACCATGATAGGATGCCACCTGTGCAACAAGTCCAGTCGTGAAATTTCCTCGCTACTAAATATTCCACAGTCAACTGTCAGTGGTATTATAACAAAGTGGAAGCGACTGGAAACGACAGCAACTCAGCCACGAAGTGGTAGGCCACGTAAAATGACAGAGTCAGTGGATGCTGAAGCGCATAGTGCGCAGAGGTCGCCAACTTTCTGTAGAGTCAATCGCTACAGACCTCCAAACTTCATGTGGCCTTCAGATTAGCTCAAGAACAGTGCATAGAGAGCTTCATGGAATGGGTTTCCATGGTCGAGCAGCTGTATCCAAGCCTTACATCACCAAGCGCACCGTTAAAGCACGCCGCCACTGGACTAGTCTGATGGACGAGTCTGGGTTCGGCGGTTGCCAGGAGAACGGTACTTGTCTGATTGCATTGTGCGAGGGTAAAGTTTGGTGGAGGGGGGATTATGGTGTGGAGCTGTTTTTCAGGAGTTGGGCTTGGCCCCTTAGTTCCAGTGAAAGGAACTTCAGCAGACCAAGAGATTTTGGACAATTTCATGCTCCCAAATTTGTGGGAACAGTTTGGGGATGGACCCTTCCTGTTCCAACATGACTGCGCACCAGTGCACAAAGCAAGGTCCATAAAAGACACAGATGAGCGGGTTTGGTGTGGAAGAACTTGACTGGCCTGCACAGAGTCCTGACCTCAACCCGACAGAACACCTTTGGGATGATTTAGAGCGGAGACTGCGAGCCAGGCCTTCTCGTTCAACATCAGTGTCTGACCTCACAAATGTGCTTCTGGAAGAATGGCCAAAAATTCCCATAAACGCATTCCTAAACCTTGTGGAAAGCCTTCCCTGAAGAGTTGAAGCTGTTATAGTTGCAAAGGGTGGGCCGACATCATATTAAACCCTATGGATTAAGAATGGGATGTCACTCAAGTTCATATGCGTGTGAAGGCAGACGAGCGAATACTTTTGGCAATATAGTGTATATGAACCCAGAGATTTTTTTTTTAACACTTAGTTCATGGCCTACACACAGGGTGTCAAAAATAACAGATTACACAATGAAGTTTAATCCGACTCGAGAATTACTCACATGAGCCAGAGAGCAGCTGTTTGATCTCCTCATTCTCCGGCATATCCTGGATAGCAGCATTAATCTTCTCTCTGATGGCCATCACTGCACTCTGCCATTTCAGAGAACAGTGTCTTCTATCCACCAACCAGTCTGAAAGGTTGAAGAGGGAAACACAGCAGAAGCAATTTAAAAGCTCCCGTTGTGAACATTTGCTGTACATGATTTACTAAATGTAGCCACATACTTACTACAGGTTTTTTAACATCATTAATACAAAAATAAAAGACTTCTCACCCAAAAGTTTACTGGTTTGAATGTCGATAGGGAGATTCTGAACGTTCTGAAAACGACAAGAAAGGTGTTTTTCAAAAATAATTCAAGTTATGTAACTTAGCACTGCAGCTTTATGATGCTTTATAAGGCTCAGTCTAGTGAGTAAATACAGCCAGTCTCATTAGCTACCAAACTATCACTCATGCAAATACGATTGTGACAGCTGGTTTACATAAACAAAGCTGGAAGATGATGTGAAACCCAATTACAAATAAGACCTTTTCACCTAGTTTTACTTAGTTAGTCATGCAACGGCCTTTTTTATTTTAACCGATCTAACCGTTACTCGGTCCTCTACCTCTACTTACAGTCCTGCTTTGAGCCCGAAACTAAGTTGGTAGTAGCTGGTGAAGCTAACATACAAACACAGCTATATAGGCTAATAAAGCCAGAGAACATTAAATGTACACGGTTGTAGATGTAAATGAACTAAAGTGTGCTTTTAGCTTCACTTTACCTCCATGGTATCCTCGGATTTTTGTGTTTTTATTTCTTATAAAACCGCTGCAAAATAAGCTACATCTCCATCGCGCTCCGAGATATGTCCTGCAGTTTTCGTTTACTTTGACACGTCCTAACACAGCAAACCAATCACACCAGCCCAAACAGACAGAGACGCCAAACGTCCCTCTCTGAAAGCACCAATGAGCAACAGCGATAGTGACGAGGTCTTCGCAGTGAGCAAATCAGAAGAGGCCTGTTCAGCGAGGGAAGGCTTAGACTTGTCAAAATAAAAGGCGGCAGCTTCTTAGACTTTGTCAAAATAAAAGACACTAGCTTTACAATACGTTAAAAGACTAGAAAAAAGAACAGGTGTAATTTCCAAATGAAGTCGATCTGTCAGTGCATGTTTCCATTGAAGCTATGGAGATATTCTCACGAACCTGACAAATACCCTACCCAGTTTGAAGAAATTAAAAAGACTAAAACTTAATGCTTGTATTTCTGGACATACAAACCATGCTAGACTGAATCATTAAGAATAAACCAGAATGATGTAATTGATTTTAAGTTACATTTATCGAAAATGTATTAAAATAAAAGTAAAATGAATGTGCACATGTATTCATTTTTACATGTATTTTTATTACAGTTAAAAAGAAAAAAGGATGTTAATTACAATTAACAAGAAAGGGTAAAGGCTAGTTAAATTTTCTATCCTGCACTCTGATTGGCTAGAACTTTCTCTCCAGTAATCTGATTTGCTAATTCAGTTTTCTTCTTGAGCTCTAATTGGCTAGTGAAATATTCCATTCTTAGTATTTTTTTTTCCATTCTTACAATGAATTTTCCCTCTGTGATCTGATTATCTTGGTTCAATTTTCTCTCCTACAGTCTCGATGCCCAGTTGAATTTTCCCTGGATTGTTGAAAATTCCCCTCTTGCAATCCATTGGCCAGCCAGTGCTGGTTGCATTTGCAATCATGCAATCTTTAGTTCACTTCCTTTCACCTCTTCATTCACAAATGCACAGAGTACATACCTGCAATCAAACAGACCAAACCCAGGCAAATGCAACTAACCAATTAGATCACATAAGAGAAAAAATGTACTTGCAAATCATCATGCAGGTGGAGAAATTCAACTAGCCAATTAAATCACAGGACAGAAAATTCAGCTAACCAAAGGGGCTGAAATTTGAGTATAATAATTTGGAGGGAAAATTTAACTAGCTGCTCAGGTTGTAGGATGGAAAATAGTGTACTGTTGAGTGTTGGTGGAAATATTCAACTAAGCAGTCACACTGCAGGCCTGCATATAAAAACAGCCCATCTGATTGAAGGAGGGAACATTGCACAAGCTAATCAGAGTACTTCAACAGTCCAATCAGATTTATCAAACTGCATATTTAAACTTTCCACAAGGTGGCATTGTATTCTAAGCATTTACCACAGTCACAAGACACAAAGCTGGTAATCATTAAAGACTACAGACAGTACAGCAGAGTACTGAGTATTTACTGAGCATTTTACTGTAGCTCAATAAACCAGTTTTATTTTGTGTTATCTAATGCTCTCTTTCCACCCTGTACACTGTTTGTTTTTTAAGGACGTACTTTGCCTTCTCTTGGCCTGTGTTTGAACAAGAGAATGTTTGGTGTTTTGGATTTTTGTGTGCTTGCATTTGTAGACTTAAATGTGGAAATTTATTTATTTATTTATTTATTTATTTATGTATTTTTTTAAGCCACAGACATTTCCAGGGGTCTTCACCCTGACTTAGAAGACACATCAGATGTATTCTTTAGATTCAACATTGTAAGATTCAGATCATGGCTGCAGTAGCTATTTAATGTGTTTGTTGGTTGGTGATAAAAACAACAGCAACAACAACAACAACAACAACAACAACAACAATAATAATAATAATAATAATAATAATAATAATAATAATAGAAATGGCATAAATGATAGTAAAAGTGGTAGTTTAAAAGTGGACCCCATTTGGCAAATATATTTCATTACAAACACTCTTTTCTGTGGAAAATATTTTTGTCAGTACTCGATATTTTGGGCATGTCTGTGCTTGAACACTATATTGTCTTTATGAATTACAGCTCTGTGCAAGGCTAATGAGCTTAGCGTAGTCAAGAATTCAACCAGGCTTTTAAGTTTGCCGTGCACAAGAGTATCCATTCCCCCTTTCTTGTTTCCTTATTGTTTTGTTGGACTGAATCTATTCAAATGATGCAGACACACTGACGCTCATGGGAGAGTGTGTAAACTTACATCCCGTCTTTATTATGTCAAGTTCACAAAGAGACATTTGGTCTTCTTTATTATGGCTGCCAGCTTCTTTGTCTGGGTGGTTTTACTAGTACACTGTACAATATTCAACATATTACTTCTGGAGCTACTGTCAGCAGAGGTCCATTTGGTGGCTTGTCTGAATCTGAATAAAGCTGTTCAGAGTGCTAAAATGCCTTTATGGTCATTTTTAACACATTATGTAGCGCATAAATCACGATTTTAATCCTGAAATGATTAAAGTCCTGCTAAGTCTTGTGAAGCACAAGGACTGTAACAGTTAAGAGGAGCAATAGGCGAATGGTTTCCACACATTTGAATGGGAGGCAAACATACCCTTATCAGAGCTGGAGATCTATTATCTGCCTGTGATTTCTCCACATCATGCAAAACACTATGAGTGCCAGCACTATGGTGGCCTTGCATAACAAGCGATGGAAGAGACTGAATTATGCATAGGCTATGGCAGAATGTAATGGTGTTTATGATTATCTTCATATCTTAAAAGGGGATTCAAGTTCCAAAATATCTCTATATTTCAATGATTTGGATGTAAACAAAGTCATTCAGATTGGTTTGATTTGAAATGATACATAGTAGGGAACTTTATTGACTCATTTTCTTTACAGCGGTGATAGGAACCACGGGCCTTAATGTCACAAATGTAGCCATTTTATTTACTACTGAAAATGACCAGTTAACTGACTGGTATCTTTAGAATTTTTATATGTAATGTTGATAACGGTAATATTGTGATAAATCTTTTTTAGATAGTTTATTTTGGGTTATTTTGCCTGCATGTACCTGGCATGAATTACAAAAAAAAATTCTCAAAACTGTCATAAACAATGTTTCAGGCATCATGTTCATAAGCATTTCATATAATAACATATGAAGTGTGAGGGAGCTCCTAGAGGCATTATCTACTGTAGACGTCTGGTTCCTGTCACCCCCACTGTGAACGATTCTGATTGGGTAGGTATCTCTAGAGCATTTCACATTAGACCATACTGAATGACTTTGTTATGCAGAAATTTTTCAAAATCAGTGGAATTCCTCTTTACGTGGTTAGTTGGCATTTTCTTTCTTTCTTTCTTTCTTTCTTTCTTTCTTTCTTTCAAAAGGTATATGCTTACTTATGAGATTTATCTTTTTTAACACAAAAATTTACCTCAATTGCATCAAAAGTATTGAAACATTCTACGATCATGTTTAGAGAATAAGGTGGAACGGGCAGCGTTTGATCTACTGTGCCCAGTAAAGGATCACAAATGTTGCTGCATGGTTCTGTAGGAACAATCACAGGAAGATCAAGTCATGTATTTGCAAACATGCTCAAATATGAGATGCTTTGAAGGTTCTTTAAAATCTGCATTGCTTTGTGTTTTTCGGAAAGAGAGATTTGCACAGTGCCACTACCACCAAGCAGTGTGCTCAGAACAAACAGACTAAAGTGGAAAATCATGTTCAAAGCAACACACTGCTTTTTATCTTCTGGGCTAAAAGAAAATGATTCTTAAGTGCAAATCCTTAGTATGACTACCAAAGCAGAGTGTAGCTGATGAGAGAGAAGTAAATGCATTTGTTTTTTTTCATTTATGTCAGGAAAAAACTTAAAAGTGCATCGTCTTAGTTGAGTACCCTTTTCATTTACTATGCAAATTTTAAATCAACATCACACTCCCACAGGATTGGTTCATTCTGATGGATGCAGCCCTCCCCCTTTCACTCACATGGCTGTAACATTTACTCAGGTTGCAAAGGGCTGCCCCTAATGTTCAGCTCAGACTGCAGCACATGTGCGAGGCTGCATAGGCAGATCTTAACAACACCTTGACACCAAATGAAAGCATTCAATCTCACTGACATTTCTTAAGGAAGAAGCAGGAAAAAGTGACAAAGCTTTGAAGTTCTTGACAGAGAAAACTTGCGCGGGAGAAGGAAAGACATGACAGGAAACAGCTGGTAGAGAATCAGTGCAACTTCCAACTTCTTGTGGACCTTTATCCATCTAAAACAGGACCACCAGTGAATCAGGTAAATATTAAAATAACTGAAATGACTCTAAGTGACTGCATAGTGAATTGTAGGCCATTAGAATGTCTTCAACAAAGGTGCCAAAAAGACTTCTTTGGACTGGTGCCAGAGAAGAGCCACTTTTCAATGGATCTTTGTAAATGACGCGTAAGTGTGAAGAAACCTTTCAAAGTGTTGAAGCTCCATATAATCTAAAGGTTCTATAGTGTTTTCCTAGAACTATATGTCAAAGCCAAGAACCTTGTAGGAAGCTTTAAGTGTGCATATGTCAGCTCCATTTGAGATAAGCTGATGCATGTATGTGTTTATAAGCATTAATTTGCCCAATGAAACATACTATTAGAACATCCTGTTTTTTTTTTTATAAGGAGCTATATTCTACATAGTATACCTGGTATTGTATTTTACTTTTTCTGCCTATTGTACTATACCATTTAATTAGAAGTCATTATGTTGACTATATGCTCTATTCCTCAGTAGCAGGGAACAATCTTGAACCCAATTTGAAGCCAAAACGTTTATTAAAAGCTTCATTTAAGGAGATTATATTGTTCAAGAGGAGTCAGATGCTATCATCAAATGAAAAGGAGAGGAATGGGACACCAGCCATTGCGGCAAAGTGGTCATGGATGATCGCTTTGCTCCTAAAGGAATGAAACAGCTTAGTCAGAGAAATAGAAACGGAATAGGCCTCTTGTATGAAAGCTCACAGTAACCATACTACTCTCCAGGCCAATCCCAGGTGAGAGGGATGTTATAGGGTATGAAAACCCTGCCTAGTGGGCGAATGGAACACCACCGTAACGGTGCTGCACAATGCTGGGCTTGGCTGCCCTTGGGCTAACCTTTCCCTTCTTCAAACATTGTTTCACCCAAAGGCTTTGAACTTGGTTATTGATTGTCAAAGTTTAGAGAGGCCACAGCGTACCTTCTCTGTGCTCTTTGAGGCTGTTCAGACAAAATAAAATATTGTTTCTCAGTGCAGGGGCTAGTGTGGTCATGCAGAAGTCCAGCAGAAGTATTATATGTGAATTAGACAGAAAATGGTGTTGTATTACCAGTCAATATTCTAGAGAACATAAGCCTGATTACAAGTTCGCATTAGGCTATCACTGACCAAAGTCCCTGATTTGTTTTTAAACTGTAATCTACACTGAGTCTTTCTCACGCATTAGTCACTGTTCTTTAGCTGGCTTATGGTACTCCAGCCAGAGTCAGGAACTTACTGCCCTTCTCAGAAATACAAAACCAGTGACTTCTCTCAGTGAAAGAAGACACTCTCCAAGAGATCCGAAGATTAGTGGGTCAGAAATAAGTTCAATTAAGGACAGACAATGGCCGGAAGGTGTTAATTCTAACAGAAACTTTGCTTTAGGTAAATGAGCCCAGCCATTATGTAAGTGCAGGAGATCAGTGACATCTATTGTTGTGTGTGTCTTTTACGTAATTCGACTGTCTAATTACAGGGTAATTGGACCTATTCACATTTACTGTGTGTTTTTATGTGTGTGAGACTGAGCAAGCAGATAGCCACTGTTCAGTGGGCAAAATTAAACACTTTGAAAAAGTCTTCAGGTCATGCACAGCCTGAAAATGTATCTCATGTTTATGCATACTCCTGAAAATGCTATCCACCTTAATGTAAGACAGAGGCTCTGTCACATATTGGTGTATTTTAGCATAAAATATGAAGTATTGTGTGAAAGTCAGAGACCACCTGACATGTATTTGATTTCCAGTCAAAGTGGCCATTATGTATAAGTTATACAGTTTTCATCAGGAAATAAGCATATTTAAGATATTTAAGAAAAAATAACACAGATGCAATAACAACTAAACCTAATGTATTTTTTTCAGTATTTAGTATTCATCCTTTGCGTTTAATTAAGCTTCCATTGTTTTAGAGAGACAGGCTTTCAGTTTTTTAAAGAAATCTGCAGGATATTTTTTCAAAGTTCAGTCTTGGAAGTTGGTTGCAGTTTCTGCTTCTCACAATCCAAGTATTCCCAAACACATTCAATGACTCTGTGGTCCATTGTTCTTAGAACACCAACAGCTTCTTAGTTTGGTTTGCAGATTTTCTTTTCTTTTTTATCTATTTTCTTTGCTCAGTAATTTCTTCTTCACAGCTTCACATTATTTTAGATAGTGTGGAGTTGTCTTCTCACAGTGGAAGGATGAACAGAGGCACCATTGGTTTTTTTCAGATCTGAATCAAAGGTAGAGCTTAATTTTGTCCTCACTCTCAAAGATGAAAGCTTCAAGTACTGTATTTGTGACAGTGACAGTTTTGGTGGTCTACCAGGTCTTGCATGGTTGTTGTGAGTCCCATTTTCTCATCGTCTTTTAATATTTTTTGGACTCCAGTTTTAGAAACTCCAGATTTTTTCACTTATTTTCATTTGACTTTCTCCTTCCTTACGCAGTATTATATCTAATCTCCTCAGAAATATCTCTTGAAAAATGAGAAACTTAAAACTTGAATGGTGAAAAATGAACGGTGGTCTCTGACTACATTCGGCAACACCATTTGAGATAAGCTGTTGCATGTGTCCATTTATAGGTATTAATTTGCCAAGTTAAATATTCTGTAAAAACATGCTGGCATTTTCATTAGGAACCCTTTTTCACTTGGCATACATGGCAATGCAATTTCATTTTGTTCAGTTAGATGTCATTATGTTGAAGATACTGTGTTCCTCAAAGCCATACAGTTGTATTGAACCCAACTCGCTGTCAAAGCTTTGTCACATGTTGCTGCAACCTGCAGTAAAACAAGCTCACATGGCAGTCCACTCCGTACTGCATAATAAAAACAGTCTAAACTCCCATATGAAAACCATGCTGACAAACCATGAGACTGATAATGAATCTATTACCATCCAGTGTATTATGTTATCAGAGAGAAAGTAGTTTAGTGACTCAGGGAACACACCCTGGTTGCCAGCATTGAGGGAGAAGCAAAACCATCTCTTTATCAGTCCTCTGCTATTGTTACCATCCAGCGCTTGCGCTTGTGGGTCTGCCATGTTTACACTGGCTATTATCGCACAGATGCATGCATGGAGTCTTGACAATGACATGACATGGCAGTGACCTGCCTCGCATTTTTAAGGTGCATCACTACAACAATGAAGGCAGTGTGTGTGTATTTTTGGCACATCTCACATCTCAAAGGAGAGACAGAAGATCCATTGGTGCTCTTCATTAATTCAACAGCTAAGCGGCAGAATCAGGTGTCCTCCTCATGTTCTCTTTTAATCACTGAAAGGAGGAGAGAGACAGCCGTACCACCTCATACACCTCACATAGGGTGGTCTATTTGAGTCAGGTGGCCATAACAACAGTGTGACCTACTTCATACTAAGGAAACCCTAGAGTCCACTTTAATGATGTGTTGATTAATTAGCAACACATTTTGTGTCAGGCCTCAAGAACACAGCACATCTCTGTGTTAGACATGATAACACACTGATTGTGTAAAGGTAGCACAAAATGTGTTCTCCTTGAAAGGAAATTTTACTGATTATTCAAAATTTATTAATAATTAAATATCTGAGATGTAAAGACCTCCAGAGTGGCATGATGTGAAATGATGCATTGTAGGGAAACTTGCTGATTTGGTGGTGGAAAACCAGGGGTTGTGATGTCTACAATGTAAATAGAGCAATTTGATTTACTATACAAAATGATCAGTGAACCTACAAGTGTCTTCTGAGTTTTGTAAGTAACGTTGATAGTGGTAAAATAGTGGTAAATTAAAAAAAAAAAATATCTGGGGACTATTTTGCCTCACAATGCCCTGCATGTACTACCGTGCATGTACACTACATGGCCAAAAGTATGTGAACGACTACCTACTAATTATTGAGTTTAGGTGTTTTAACCACCTGCCAACATGTGTATAAAATTAAACACATTGCCATGCAATCTCTAGATACAAACACTGTTAGTGGAATGGGTCATGCTGAAAAGATCAGTGACTTTTAACGTGTCATAGAGTGTCACTTTTGAGACAAGTCAGTTCATGAAATTTCTGCCCTGCTAGTTCTGCCCTGGTCAACTGTGAGTGCTATTACTCTGAAATGGAAATGGAAAATCTGAGTTTGAATCAGTAAATCAAATTCCCAGAACGAGATAGCTGAATGCTGACAAAATGCCTATCCTCTGTCTTATCATTCAGTACAACTGCCAAACTGCAACATCAACACTAGAACTGTTCATCGAGAGCTTAATGAAATGGGTGTCCATGGCTGCTCACAAGCCTAAGATCACTATCCTCAAGAGTGGAGGCTGTTATAGTCAAAGGGGGAGGGGGCAACTTCATATTAATGTTCATGGGTTTGGGATGGGATGCACAACTAGCTCATATAGGTGCAAGCTCAAAGCTATTTTAAAACAATGTCTCAGGCATCAGAACCATTTAGTGTGGGGGTGTCCAATCTTACCTGTAAAGGGCTGATGTGGCTGCAGGTTTTCATTCCAAACAAGCAGATCTGATTCCACTTCATCAATCAACCCATTTCAGTCCTACACATATAAGATTGGACACCCCTGATTTAGCTTTATGTAAGGTAGTTTTTGTTGGACATTTGGTTCCCATCACCACTACTGTGAAAAGTTCTGACCCTAGAAAGGCCCACTTCATTTAAAACCACTCTAAATGACTTTGTTTACATAAATTAAATTGCATAACAAGTTAAATTTTTGCTGAAACTTTGAAAAATTGGTAGAATTTCCCTTAACTAAACACATAGATGTGTTAACATCATATCTGACACATTTTAAGAAAGTACACTGTATATGTACACTATCCAATGTGGGTTCAAGAATATGCTGCATTGGATTAAAGGAACAGTTTAACATATCAGCCAAAAGTTTTTTTTAGTTTTACACTGGAGCTACGACGCTTGTATAATAAAAGTCTATGTCATCAGAAAAAATTAGACTTTCATTACTTTTTAGCTACATGAACCTCATAGCTCCAGTGGAAAAACTAAGGAAGCAAACTTTTTTGGCTGATTGACTTGTTTGGGGCGAGGGGGAAATTTCAGTTCACAGATTTTTCAGTGAACCATTCCTTTAAACACCTCTAAAGAGTACTGATGAAGGTATTTCAGTAATCAATGCTCATACACAGCTCAGTTTTGTTAAGACGTAAGCCATAAATCATGTCTGTATTGCAGGCCCACGCTGTTCATCTTGCACAGTTGCACGTGTCATGGCTGAACCTGCCTGGTGGAAATTGACCTTCTTGAGGACGAAGTCGTCCGAGTCCAAGGTCCTGTATGAGATCCCAGCTGAATATGGCAGTAACACCGGCAATAAAGAACTGTCCAGCCCTTCTCTCTACACAGATAACACTGACAGTCAGCTAGATGCTAAGTTGGAGAAGATTGTGGATAAGTCTGCCACCAAAGGCCGTCATGTCAAAGTCTCACACTCTGGCCGTTTCAAAGAGAAAAAGCGGATTCGAGCCACTCTTGCTGAAAATCCCAGTATTTTCCCTGAGTACAACAGGACTGATGAGAACCATGTGGTAGAGAAGTAGCATACATTCTTATCTTTTAGATACAAACACTCCCTATTTGTTAATTAGCATAACCCTTATCAAGCCACTCACACGGGGATGAAAACTATCTCTTTATTTTATGGGGACTAATTTAGATTAAAACATTTAAATGATTTCTTAATCTTAAGAATATTGTAAGTATATTTGGTACTTTTAAAGGGGAATTACGCAGATTTTTAAAAATTTTTGCATTAAATTATTGCAGGGTAAACAAAGTGGTTTGATGTGAAATGGTGCATTTTAGGGAAACTAATCAAACTAGGGGTTGTGATGTCCACAATGCAAATACAGCCATTTTATTTACTATTCAAAACAACCAGGGAACCTACATGTCTTGTGACTTTTTATATGTAATGTTGATTATGATAAATAAAATAAAATAGTAAAATAGTAGGCAAATATGGAAAAATATATTTTCTTTGGAAACTATTTTGCCTTATAACACAATGCATGCACCTCTCTGCCAAGAATGCATTTTAAAATATGCTTAATGCCAAAACTTCATTACTACTATAAAACAATGTCTCACACAAATTCGTAATCATTTCCTGAAATTTGGATGTCAGGTTCACCACCACCACTGTGAACCACTGTGATTAAGTTTCTCTAAAATAGAGCATTTCACATCAAACCACTCTGAATGACTTTGTTTACATTTTAACGATGCAATTATGCAGAATTTTTGGAAAACCCTCTTTAATTTTAGTTAATGTAGTTGCTTAACTGTCTAAATTCTTATGCTAAGATTTAGGTGCTGAATGGTGTGCTTATTGAAAATGTCATATGAGTCACCATAGATGATGTGGAAAAGAAAATGCAATAAATGAATGAATGAGTGAATAAATAATTAAATATTTTTTAAAAATCAGAAATTGAAATGTTTCATGTTTTAATATATAACAAGCAAAATATTGGCTGCAAGTGAGGTTAAAAATGTACTTTGTCATTGCCTATTGTATATATAACTGTTTTATGTCTAGTACAACCAAAAGTGACAAAACCACCACAAAGACTAAACAAACAGCACATACTGATGTGTACATATTATCTGACATGCCTTATTTCTCTCTTGTTTGCTTAACGCTGAAATTGTACTGTCAATTGGTCCAACACTGCCATCTGCTGGCAAACCATGAAGAAACATCAAATAAAAATGACACTGGATTGTATTGCGTTGTTTAATTAAATATATTTACTGGGCCATTAGTTTGCATTACATTTCTCTTAAATTCACAAATTCAGAAAATGAGTTTGGCACAATTTTAAAGTGCATTTCAACATTAACTGCATTGAAAGGCAATACAACCCATATTCTCACTGCCCAAAGCCATTCTGAACACAAGAGGTATTTTAGTCTCACTGGAATATGTTAAGACAGTTACAAGCATGAAAATGTAAGAAAGACACATTTTTCCAGGAAGCAAAAGCCACAAATGTAAAATACCCTGCTAATCTATAAAGTTACAGCAATAATCATGTGCTTTCACTTTGCTGACGGAGGTGAGAACGTCTATGAGACAGCACTGAAATCTTTTTAATTATTATCCTATATGAAAACAGACTTTATACTAAAACAAGTAAAACAGTCTTAAAACAGTTTTAATGGACCGTACGGATATCCTCAATTTGGGTAAAACAGGTAAAACTACTTATTTCTAAATATTTCCCACAATTTTCACACAGGTAAAACTACTATAATGGCTTATCAGAGGTATTTTCTACATAATTAACATCCTTATCGGTTCCATTTAACATCCAAATGACTGAAAATTAATGTGTAAGTGATGACTAATTAATGTCTATATCACCAGTGGTGATATTCTTAAGGTCTGAGACCACTGTCAGGGTGCTAATCGGTAGTACACCCAGTCCCCCTTTGCTCGATGCTGCATTTCCTCAAGTTCAGCCTCTCCTTCTTTGAGCCTTTTGAACACAATGCGATCATGTAACCTATTGGTCTGGCCCTGCCAGAACTCAATCAGGACAGGCTTGATAATGTAGCCTCCCCTACAGAAAGAAACACAAATCGAAATGAATTCAACTGTATGAGACAGCAATAAAAAGCATTCTCAGCACAACCACTATTCAAGGAATTTGAAACATTCTGTATTCCCAAATTCATCTCATGAAACAGAAAAGTTCTGGTTCTAAAATGTGATTGGCTGAACCATGTTTGAAGTCGTCGTAAATGCTCAATATATGCAAACATATGGCCACCCAGATGAGTTCTGTATTAATGCACAATTATTAAAGTTATTAAAACCATTTTACTGTTCATGGAATAATCTTTGACCCTTATTTCTTAGCATCCACAGCCCAGTGCTAAAGAACCATGAAACTTGGCCGAAGAGTTATCTATTGCAATTAATATCAGTCATTAACTAAAATATTTACTGAATAATGGTGTATTATATTATACTGCCTTTCGTCATCATGTTATAAAAACAATAAGCCACTCAGGGCTGCATGTTACAGTGAAATTCTCATCACAGTTTTAGGAACTTCGCTTCATGGTGTGATGAACAACACCCTTTCCTTGTGGTATGGGCCCGTTGTGGCTTATTGCCTTATCTGATCTTTAACAAATGTACCATTTAGGTCAGATGGAACTCCTTAATAAACTATGCCATTTACTAAAACAATTTAAAGCTACTAATTTCTTTAACACATACCAGTAATCCGGCATGGGAACCTCTGAGTCCTTATATTTCTCTTCCAGCTCTGCATTCCTCTGTCTTATGTACTGAATATGGAGAACATTAACAGGCCATTAACACAAGTTATTGTTTTTCCTTCACCAAAAATTGTTGTAATGTAACGAATATTCAAATTGGCACGGTGTGAAAGCTAGAGATGGTTCACTCACCTCCCTGTCGGGTATCACAGTGCTCTGTCTGCTCACCACTGCACCAACCTGACTGCTCTTGGGTCTTGAGTGAAAGTACTCACAGGAACTCTGATATGGAATTCTCTCTACAGTGCCTTCAATGCGAACCTGTGGGGACCCAATTTTGAGATTCTCTTATAAGTTCACTTTTGAAAGGGAACAGGCTACCCCGGAATCTCAGACTCTATATGCAGGGTTTAAATAGGATTTAGCAGGTGGGGGAGCCCTTCCTCTTTCATGGATGCTAACAATGTGGGAGGAATATTGTGCAAAGTATGAGTCATTATATGGATGTCTCAGCACTGATATCACTGAAATGTGATTAAAACTACTTCCCAATATATCAATCCATATCTGTATATCTGTCTATCTATACCTATAAAGATCAACCTTGCTGGGTCCAAGTGTGCATTTTGGTTATTTGGCAATAGCCAGTACAAAACAGTCAATGATCTCATTTAATAATAATTCATTCACATGAGGTAGGCCTACTGTATAAATACATGATTTAGCTCCTTCAGTAGTACAATTTTACCAGGTTAAGCAAACTAGGCTTGCTACCTATGTGATAGAATGTTGATTACAAGACTTTTGAGGCAAAATAAACTTATATATATAAAGCAGCTGGAAGGCTTGAAAACATATGCCTACTTTCATGATTGCGAATACTGTCAAAACGAAAAAGAGAAGGAAGAGCCACTTTACAAACTTATAAAGTGCAACCCCTCCCCAAAAAACACAAACAAATGATCATGGGATGTTAGAAATGGAAGGGGGCGGTTGAAGTGTGGCTGTCTAGAGGTCAGTCAGCATGGTTCATCACATCAAATGTTCTCAGCTAAATGTTCTCAAGAAGATTACGGACATCAGTTCTGCTTTCTGTTCACTTAAAAAAAAACAGGTTTACTCTGGGCCAGTTGAGTTAAGCCCTGCTTATGTGTCTAATAACTTAGGTTAAGTGTTCTGAGAGTATCTAATGGGATATGAATCCAGTGATCTCTTGCAAAACTCACCTGCTTATTCAGTGGTTCCCAGTAAAAGACAAGGCAGGCATGTGGGTTGCCCTCCTACAGAAATGGATTGGAGAGGACCATGTAAGTCAACATCTGAAACACACTCTAGGGAGGTCAACAGACATTTAAGAGAGGCTAAAGAGGCTGTTTATGAACACTCACCAGCTCTTTACCTTTACGGCTTTCATAGTTGGAGAAGAAGCGGAATCCCTCATTGCTGAAGCCTTTCAGCAGCACCATACGAGCAGAAGGCCTCCCATCCCTTATAATAAGTCAAAGTCAAAGTCAGGGCAAACTAAAGAAGTGTTTGTCAGTCTCAGAAAAGCATAGTTTGTGAATCTATGATCTTGCCTGTCTGTAAATCTATAAATGATGCCTCATCCATTGTCTGTCATATCTTTAATGTCTTTTCTTTTGATGCACATGGCAAAGTTTGACACTGACATTGTTTTTGGCTTCTAAAAGTGAATGATGAGGCTCTTCCTCGTATTAATGACTGTACTTAGAAAGTAAAGGCACTGATAAAGAACAGTACATAACATTCTTACTTGGTTGCTGTTGCAATGCACATGGCATTGGGCTCCCCGATTTCAGGACACTTTGTAGCTTGATCAAACCACTCGCCAAACTGCTTTATAGGGTCAAGGGAAACAAGCTGATTCTCTTCAAAGCACTACAAGATAAAGAAAATGTGATTAATATCATATTTTAGCCTACACAGAACAATACTTTGTCTTACTCTATACCTGATATCTAATATTGTCCACTTACATTTCATTTCTAATTTGTCATTAGTACTTGTGTGGGATCATTTCAATTATCTGTATCATGATACTTGATCATGTTTACCTACGAATATGACAGTATCATTTTGATCAAGATGGTTTATTAACCAAGGGCCACATGCACAATAAATTGTTTGGGTGTAGGAGTGTCCAAACAGCTTCTAGGTTATACTTAAGGTTGCCATGATTACTTAATTAAAATCGATTATTCAATTAAAAAAAAATTGATTGATTAAAAGGGAAATGCCCTTTTATTGAACACAGCAGAAAAGGCCACTGAATAACAGCGAGAACAGCGAGAAAAGTCCCCTCTAGCCACACAACATCCACTCATGCTAAACTAACAAACAGCAACATTAACAGCAAGAACAACAATAACAACTGTCCACTCCTAACGGAGGGGGAGGTGCATGCAGGCGCAACTCCTCTTGAAACGCGGAGCATGTGGTGGATGTGACGGTATGTTCTCAGCGAATTGGCTTAGTAACTGGTTTACAATTTGAATGATAGCCAGGGTATCTGAAGTTCATTATAAAGTTATGCTTGGCAAACTGGGAGCGCTTTTCTTTGCATCATCAAAGAAGAGAAAACCTGCAACAGCAGGAACTCACCAATGCATGTATGTTTGTGGGTACAAATGTGTATGAAGTAAAATTAGATGTTTGTTACAAAGTGTGTATGTATGAAATAAAAGTGTAGATGAAGTAAAAGGTTTAGTTTAAATAGGTCTAGGCTGAACAGCTTGGCAAACATTCTAACAGGCACCTCCAATAACATTCAGAATTTAGGCTTTTAGATTCACTTTCAAACTACAAATGAAAGAATATGCAATGTAAATGCCATAAGCTTTAAATAATTGGTTAAAGCAGTATTGGTCTACGTAGAATTAAATCCTGTGTAAGAAGGGAACACCACTGCTAGCTTGGTGCTAGCAAAACATTGAAGCTAGTGAAAATTAGCACTGTCGTAGTGTTGGTCCTCAGGCTAATTAAGAAGTTGTGATTTTTACACTCAACCCTGCTACATAATAATATATCTGGACATTAGTTCATGAAATGACTAAAAGGAGCATTAAATATTTTTTAAAGTGACATTAAAAACGAATTGAACAGAATTTATTGATACCTGCAAATAACGATAATGCATATTTTAAATTGTCCTACTCGTCTCTCCAGCAGTAAAA